TTCACGTGGCTGGTTGGAGTGGAGCGCGTGTGGGCTTGAAGGAAATTGACGCCACTTAGTCTCTGATGCTGACAGAGGAGCCGGCTGCGTGGACTTCAGCCTGTCCTGAGGGGCGGAGAGAACTCGAGCAATCAGAGGCCTCCTGGAGACTTGGACGTGGCATCCTCCTAAACGGGCCCCATTTATCACTCTCACTTGCCAAGGCCACTGTGATGCTGAGAAGGAAGAGATGGAGGAACAGAGGCCTTCACTCCTTTCTGCCATCTGCTGGTCTCGGGCCTACTTCCTGCCCTCCCTGTGCTCTGAATAGAGCCCTCAGGTCTGCTGTAAAGGAAGTAGGCCCCAGCCTCAGAGGAGCGGGGTGGCCCTTCCCTGCTGGTCAGCCCAGGGTTGGGCACAGGGGCCTTGTGCATGTTGCCGAGCTTCAGGGACCTGTGCTCCTCCTCTGTGTCCTTGGTGTGGCATGGAGAGTGAAGTTGGGGTGGGGAGGCCGTGGTGCACCTGGGTCCAGCAGGGTGACACTGTAGCCTGGTGGTGAGGGAGAGGTGCTCACATTGCCCTGCGTGGGACCCACACCGCCTTGGCAGGTGAGCAGGTATTTTTCCTTCTATGTCAGACATAGGAAAAGTTCCGTTTGCGCTTGCCAGTGGCAGCCACAGTGCTAGGGACGAGACGTCTGGGTAGAGAAGATAGGGGCCCTGCCTCCTCTCTGTGCCCTAGCTCTCTCATATAGCCCCGTGAGGGAGATAGGTAGGCGTGGATCACCCCATTTGATAACTGGGGACCCTGAGCACAGAGACATGACAGGCCTGCCCGAGGTCACATGGCAGGTGAGTGACGGACAGAGCATGGCTGTGTGACAGACACTGTCTCCCCTCCCAGCAGCTGAGTCTGCCCCCTCCCCTCCTCACTGGCCTGCTCACCTGGCTTCTGAACTCTTTCACCTTCTGCTTCCTGGCTTGCTTCCTCTTCCCTACTCCTCCTCCGGATGGCCCTGTCTCTCTGTGGGCTGTCATATTCTCCTCCTTCATGCTTTCACACCTCCCCCAGCCTGGGCCCAGCGACATTTTGAGGGGCCTCGTGGATGGTGTGGCCAGGCAAGGTCCTGAAGGTTCCCAGTGTTGGTGACTGGAGAACAACCTTGCAGAAAGGAAGCGAGGCCCTGTGTGCAGGGAGGGGAGTGGGGGCTCCCAAGCCTGCAGCTGGAGCCCCCAGGTCTGCTGTGGCGGGCAGCATGCTCCCCCGGGAAGGTGGCCTCTTGTGGAGCCCTGGCCCGGTGGGTGCTTTGCCCGCCCACTTAGCTGGGATTTCCTTTCTGACATTGCACTGAGTGCATTCCCGTCCTCAGTCCTGCAAGCACATGGCAGGGGCTCAGTACATATTTGGAGAAAGGATGTGTGGGTGTCTACCACTTCCTCACTGCCCACAGGGGTTTGGAGGATGTGGGTGAAGAAATGAGTCAAGTCTGCCTCTCTAGGAGCATATGTTCCATTTGGAGAGACCAAACAGAGCGACATCAGCACGTCTCTATGCAGTTAAGTAGGAAATTGTCTGGTGCAGACGGTATGTGCAGCTGGAATACAGAGATGGGAGGCATCCATGGGGCTGGGTGGTCTGAAGGACTCCATGGAGGAGGACTAGAGGTGGGCCTCGGGAAGGCGGTAGGAGGGAGTCGGACCTGTGTGTGATCAAATGGGCATTGAAGTGGACTCCTGTATTTTGGCTAAGAGACAGTATTTGGACGCCAAAGAGGCGGGAGGAGATGATAACTAGCAGCTTTGCTTGTAATCTAGCAGCCTCCTTGCCCCACACCCTGCAGGAGCTCAGTTCCAGCTTTATGCTGCCCATGTGCAGCCCTCCTCAGTGTGGGGCCTGACCGTACCCCTGACTCCTTCTGGAGGGAGACATTTGGCCAAAGCAGACAATGAAGACTTCGAAGGTGCTGTGTTAGTTTCCTGTGGCTGCTGTAACAAAGTACAGGTGTACCTCGTTTTATCCCACTTCGCTTTATTGTATTTTGTAGATATTGTGTGTTTTGTAAGACCCTCCACCAGCAAAAAGATTAGGACTCGCTGAAGCCTCAGATGGTGGTTAGCAGTTTTTAGCAATAAAGTATTTTTTAATTAACATATGTATGTTGTTTTTGGTATCGCAAAATACCGATACATAACGTTATTGCACATTTAATAGACTGCAGTATAGTGTAAACATAACTTTTATATGTACTGGGAAACCAAAAAATTTGTGTGACTTGCTTTATTGCGGTATTCATTTTATGCAGTGGTCTGGAACTGAACCCGCAGTATCTCCGAGGTATGGCTGTACCACAGGCTGGGTGGCTTAAAACAAAAATTTATTCTCTCACAGTTCTGGAGACCAGAAATCTGAAATCAAGGTGTTGGCAGGGCCGTGATCCCTCTGAAGGCATGCAGGGAGAATCTGCTCTGTACCTTTCTCTTAGCTTCTGGTGTTGCTGGCAATCTTTGCCCTTCCTGGCTTGTAGGCACACCTCTCTGGTCTCTGCCTGTCTTCATATGCATTCTCACTGTGTGTGTGTATCTCTTCTCCTCTTCTTATAAGGACACTGGTCATTGGATTGAGGGCCCACCCTAATCTACTATGACCTCACCTTGGTTCCATGTGCAAAGAGCTTGTTTCTAAGTGAGCTCACATTCACAGGTACTGGGGATTCCGAGTCAACATATCCTTTCTGGGTGACACAATTCAACCCACAACAGCTGCCTAGAGATTTTGTTTTGTTCACCTCCAAATTCTTTGTACTTGTTAAAGTCTCCATCCCCTCTCAGGTCTCTGGAGGTCTGGGCAGAGACCACGCCCCACTGATCCTTTCATGGTACCTTCTCTCGTTTGCTGGGCAAGTGGGACATGAGCTGGGCCTGCCATTCAAGACCAAGTCTTGTTATGCAGGGGCTGAAGGCTGGGTGGGAAAGGCCGCTTTTCCCTCTTTTGGGGCTGGCTGGTGAGGGGATGGAGGGTGTATTCACGGCAGAAGGGTGGGCAGAGACACCGGCAGATTTCCTTTTGACGGAGATGCAGAACGTTGGCCCCGGAAGGACCTTTAAGGGCTTTTGCACGGGGAGTGGGCCCTGCCAGAAAGGACGCCCCCGTGTTGTTGGAGCTCTGGGACGGAGTCCTGGCCCCACTGCTCGGAGTTCTGTGATCCCGGGTTAGTCGTCAGGCTTCTTGGGGGCTCAGCCTCCTCCCCTGTAAATGGGTGGTATTGACCCTGCTTGTCAGGTCTCACAGAGCGCAGATCTCACCCAGTTTCTGTGGAGGATTAAGTGATAAAAGATGTATGCGAAAGGACCTTTTCTTAAATATTTTTTATTGTGATAAATTACACATAACATAAAATTTACCATTTTAACCATTTTTAAGTGTACACTTCAGTGGCATTAAGTACATTCACATTATTGTGCAACTGTTACCACCATCCATCTCCAGAGCTTTCTCATCTTCCCAAACTGTGAAAATACCTGTTAAACTGTGAACTGAGAGCACTTTTTATTAGTTTGCTCCTGATGAATAAGGAGACCGAATTTCCTAGCAGCAAGGACTCGCCTACCATCCCCTGCTTAGTTAGGGCACCACTGAGTGAGAGTGCCGGCCCCTGCCAGTTAGTTTGGCGCCCATCCTGCTCCATCTCCTGCACTGCGCTACCTTGGGGTCTGCGGGGGTCTGGGGATGCACAAGGCACTGGTGGGTCGATTCCCTCCGGAGAGTTTCCTCCCTCTCCCAAACACTATCCTCAGGACCATGGGGCCTCCAGAATTTGTCCTGTGGTGGGACCCACGCAGCCGCCTGCTTTGAGGGCGTTCCTCTCAGGCTGTCCCTCTCTCTCTCTTTACCTGCTCCTTCCTCAAATGGGATGGAGTTCTAGTGGAGAACCAGGAGAGCTGAATCTGGGGTGACATTTGGGATGGCTTTGTGAGGTGTCACATGGTGTGGACAGAGCGGGGCAGGGAGTCAAGCTGGGTTCTGGTCCTTCCTGTCGCTACCATGGTGTTCGCACTGTGCACGTACTTGTAGATGTCCTGTCCTGTGCCCATCATTTGGAAAATACCAGGGAACAGACCTTATTACTCACGGCTTGCAGCGCTGGGAGACACAGATGATATGCTACCCAAGGACCCCGTGGCAAAGGGCACTCGCCTATAGGAGGTGGTGATGAGGGGGGATAGGTGGCCCCCAGCCCAGGCTGAAGGTAATAGCACGTGGCCAGGGCACTAGGGCAGGAGGAAGAGGAATGGGAATTGCCGCGCCAGCTAGACGTGGGTGCCCTGGGCTCCATGAGACTCCATGTCCAGGTGCTGGGGCTAGGGACAGATCCAGGTCAGACGGCTCCTGTTGAGTGGGGAGCAGAGGGCTGTGCACGTAGTTATGATGCTGCGTCACTGGTGCCAACAGAGAGGTTCTGTCACCAGGGGAAGAAAAGGCTGATTCTGCCTGGTGGGGTCGGGGAAGCTGGTGGAGGTTTTGCTTTGATTTGATGCAGAAGACACTGGTCAAGAGTGTCCACAGGGTATCTCAGCCGAGGGGACTCTCTTACCACTCTGGGGGCTGGCTCGTGTGACCCTCAGACGACCCTATGAGGTGGCAGGAGCAGTGATTGTGGTACCCATTCTGCAGGCGGGAAGAGTGATGGGTTGAAGGACGTGGGCACCCAGGAATGGGGCTGAGCAGAGGGTGGAGCCCAGCTTTCCTGCCGTGGTCCCAGGCTTCCTCGGCAATCCCACCACGGGTTCTCTGTGTTCCTCTGACTGGAGAGATCCACTCAGAGATGGCTGTGCCTAAACTCTGCGCCTGCTCTCTGGGAAGTCCTGTATCCAAGGAGCTCCCAGCCTGAAGGCCGCCAGGGCTCGGTTCCCCCATGTTCCTCCTCTTTGCCTTCCTCCGCCCTGGGAGGCTGCGGGGAGCAGCCCCCTGCTGCAGAGGAGGCCGGAGGGCAGCCAGACTAAACTGTTCTCTCCCGACACCAGGTCCCGGCTGGCAGACTTCCATGCCAATTGTCGCACCTCCTACCAGACGCTCACCAGCTGCCCTGCCGACAATTACCAGGCATGTCTGGGCTCCTATGCCGGCATGATAGGTAAGCCGCCCCCTGTGCCTGGGCTCACAGTGGCTCCTGGCTGCCCCCATCTCAGTGGGCATCGGCCGAGGCCCCGCTCAGGGCCCGTGGGTGGACAGCCTGAGCTGGCCCTTCTCTGTGGCACTTTCAGATAGAACTGTGATGGAAACCAGAGGAGAGGCCAGCTCTTTATCATGGGGAGGAGGGCCCCAGGGGCCTTAGAAGGCTTTCAGAATAAGAAGAAAAAGTAGCGTTGATTACACCATTCTGATATTCCAGGTACTGCACTGGACAGTTTACATGGACTGTCTTATCTAATTCTCACCACGGCGCTTACTAGGGAGATGTTGGTATCTCCATTTGTAGATGGGGAATCTGAGGCTTAGAGAAGTTGAGTGACTTGCAGAGGTTTACCTGGCTCATAAATGTTACACTGGGGTGGAAACCCAGGACGTGAACCTCAGTCTCCCTGACTCGCAAACACACGCTCTGCTTGTTGGTGAAGGAGAAAGCAAGAGCCTGTGCTCAGTGGGGAGCTCCTGGGTATTCCCTCTGCCCCTGATTTGTCCTCTATGTGGGTGCCTCTCTGCCCCTTGCTGACCCCATGGTTGCTGGGGTGGTAACGCTCAGAGTTTGGATTGCAATTGGGATGTGCGTGTGTTTGGCGGGCAGGTGGAGGGTGGAGGGTCTCAAGCCTCTTCTCATTTGTCTGGGGTCTGGTAGCCCAAAGAGAAGGCCTCACTGCTCCTCTCTTCTTTGCCTCCCTTTCTTGCTGCCCAGGGTTTGATATGACACCCAACTATGTGGACTCGAGCCCCACGAGCATTGTGGTGTCCCCCTGGTGCAGCTGTCGTGGGAGTGGGAACATGGAGGAGGAGTGTGAGAAGTTCCTCAGGGACTTCACTGAGAACCCGTGTCTCCGTAAGTCCTGCAGGGTCCTCCCCACACCCGGAAGCCCCTCATGCCCTTCCTATCCCAGAGGGGCCCTGGAGGGCTGCCCTAGCCACTCCCTTCTTCCTCCCGTGGGATGGCCAGAGATCTCCATGGGGCTTCTCTAGCATGAGTGTCGCCTACGGAGACCTTGGGGTTTTGTGCTCGTGGAGATTCATGCCAGAGCTGTCAGTAGGCCAACCTCAGTTTACCATGGGAGGCCCGAACCTATGTCAAGTCAAGGCTGAAGGCTTCTGGTCTGTTATCCTGACAGCTTCAGCCAGGTTCCTTCAGGGACAGCTGGGTGGTGAGGATCTCAGCTGTCTGTCACTTCTCCCTTTAAGGGTCTATCTCCCCTTGGACTCGGTGACTTTCTTTTCAGGTCATCAAACTCCTAATCTGAAGGCTAGAGAGAGGGGAGCCACAGCTCTGTCTGCCTTGATCTGTCCAGTCTGACACTCTTGCTACCCACACCCGTCTGAAGATCTCTTCCCCTTTTCCTTCCCTCCTTCCCTCCTTTCTTCCTCCCGTCCATCTGTCCATCCTCCCTTCTGTGTGGCACTGGGGATTCAGAGGTACAAGTCACAGTGCTGTCGCTGAGCAGCTTGCAGTCTGATGGAGGTGGACCAGGGGTCACTGTGATCAGAGCACGGGCTGAACAGTGCTGGGTGGAGGTCTGCACAGGGCGCTTCAGGAGCCCAGGGTGTGGATGGTCAAGTCGGAGGGCCCCGAAGGCTTCTCAGAGGCTGACCCGTGGAGGGATAGCTGAAGAGGCGGGGAGGCGGGCAGAGGTGGGTTGCGGGAACTGTAGACTCCTTAGCCTTGCTACAGCACAAGAGGGTGCCTGGACCTCTGGACAGGTGGGGAAAGGCCTCCTCACGAAGGGCCTCGCACACCTGAAGGCATTTGGATCTTAGGGTCCTGCAGGTGGTGGAGGTAGTAGTGCAGGTCGCAGAAGGGGTGTCGGCAGGTGGCATTGTGGTGAGACCTGCATTTCAGAAGGCTCATTCTCTGGTTCTGGTGTGGAGGGGGTGGGGATAGGGATGTGGTTCTGACAGGTGACCAACACAGAGTCCTTGGAGGGTGTAGTTGCTGCTCATGGGAGAGGACAGTGTGCCTGTGAGCCAGAGCAATGGCAGCGAGGAGAGATGGAGTGGAGAGATCTTTAGGAGGTGGGCTCAGTTGATGGCAAGTGGGTGGTTAGGGAGGCATCCTGGGGGACTTGGCGGGGAAAGATGACACCTTCAAGACTGGAAACGCGGGGGAAAGCAGTATTGCGATGGGAGGGGGCGCTGCCTAGTTTAGGGGCAGACATGATGAACTTGAGGTGCGCCTGGGACTTGGAGGTGGAGATAGCTGCAGGCACTAGGTTATAGGGTCAAGTCTTGGGGTGACAATTTGTCTAAGAGGTCCCATTATTTAGTCCTCAGTGAATTCGTGCTGATGGTGAGGCCAACCAGGGAGGAGGGCTGAGTCTGGGGCTCTTGGAATGCCAGTGGCGGGGCCCTGGAACCATCTGAGGTCGCAGAGGAGCCAGGAGCAGCCGTGCCTAGGGGGCTGGGGTGTGAAGCTTCTGAAGGGGAGTGGTCTGCAGACTGAATGACACAGGGAGGAGGGCACTAACTTGCCCTGGATGTGGCCCGCCGCACCTTCCAGGCTCCCACGGTCCCACTTCTCCCTTCCTCTTCTACATTCCTCATTGCATATGTTTCTTTCTATTCTGGTTTCTCTGTCCTTTTCAACCTCCCTCTTGCTATTTTCTTCTCTTCTTGTGAGACCTTGGTAGGGATCTGAAAGGGAGCTTCAGCAGAGTTAAGTTTGGACAAGCCATACTCTGTCCCCAGCTCTGGGCTGTTCTGGGGAGGGTAGCTGTTGGGGTGGCGAAGGGCAGGAGTGATGGAGGTGGTCCCTGATTTCTCTGCATCTGCCTGCTCTCTCCCCCACAGGGAATGCCATCCAGGCCTTTGGCAACGGCACAGATGTGAACTTGTCCCCTAAAAACCCCTCATTCCAGGCCACGCAGGCCCCTTGGGTGGAGAAAACGCCTTCTTTGCCAGATGACCTCAGTGATAGCACCAGCCTGGGGACCAGCCTCATCAGCACCTGCACATCCATCCAGGTGAGGGGACATGGCTCTGCAGCGGGGAGGTGGAGCCAGGGGCAGGCTGAGGGCCTAGAGAAGCACCGTGACGCCAGAGGCCGGTGTGGGAGGTTAGCAGACTGGGGCATAGATGGGGCGCACAAGTTCCTCCCTATGGATTGGGACCCCAGAGTCAGGGAGAGCTGACGGGGGCTCGATTTTCATGTATTCATTCACTAGGCATTCACTTTGCGAGTGTTAAACACCTGGTCTATCACAGGGTTGTACTAGATACCTGGGGGAGCAGAGAAGTGTCGTGGTTAGTGTTTATTAACCATCTACTAGTTACCAGGTGCTGTGCTAGTAGCTTCTCTACCTTTTCATTGAATTCTCACACAGTGTGGTGTTGGTACTCTCGTTTTACACACAGGAAACTGATCTAGAGGGGTAGGCAGCATATCCAACACAGCTGGTTAGTGGTGGAATAAGATTTCAAACCTACATCTGACTCCAAACCCATGCTGTGCATTTGTTTGTTTATCTGTACATCTGTCCACCCATCCGTCCGTCCATCCGTCCAGCATGTGTTATGTACGCGCTGTGTGCAGGTCTTATGTGAGATGCTAGGGAGACGTTGGGGAATGAGGCTGACACAGTCTGGGGTTTGTGGTCCTTATGGTCATGTTGAGGGTCAAACAATTTAAGAAGCATCAGACAGGTACTGCGGTCAGTGCCACGATAGGGGACACACGCAAGTGGCACTGCGGAGGCACATCACAGGGCTCCCCACTCAGCCCTTGTCTCTGCTGAGCTCCCCTCGGGCCGGCACGCCATTTGCTACAGTCGATTCTTCACTGAAGAGGTTGGTTCTAGTGAGACCCCCCCCCCCCACACTCTCACACACAAACACACACACACACACACTCTCTTTCTGACACACACACTCACACACCCTCGTTCTCTCTCACACACACACTTTCTCTCTCTCTCACACACACACTTTGTCTCTCACACATTCTTGTTCTCTCTCTCTCACACACACTCTCTTTCTCACACACACACTCTCTGTCTCTCTCACACACCCTCGTTCTCTCTCACACACACTCACACACACACTCGTTCTCGCTCTCTCACACACACACTTTCTCTCACACACACTGTGTCTCTCTCACACACCCTCATTATCTCTCACACACTCTCTTTCACACACACACACACTCATTCTCTCTCTCACGTACACATTCTCACACAGGCACACACATTCTCTCACACACTCTCTCACACACACACTTGTTCTCTCTCTCATACACACACACTCTCTCAGACATGCACACACACACTTGTTCTCTTTCTATCACATACATTCTCTCACACACACACTCATTCTCTCTCGCACACACACTCATTCTCTCACACGCATGCACACACACACACTCTCTTACACACACACTCAATCTCTCTCTCACATACACACATACACTCCTAGAACACAGAGTTCTAGAAGACCTAAAATAGAAGTTTAAGAAGACCTAAAGCAGAAGATGAGGGAGAGCAGAGGAGGGAGGGAACAGTGAGATCGTGGGTGGTGGGGCACAGGGGGATGTTTCAGGCAGGAGTTGGGACTAGAATTGACAAGAAGGTTGGTGGGGTCTGCAGTACAGTCAGCGGGGGGCACAGCCTAGGCATAGGTGTGGGAGCAGGGGGAACAGGGCCTGGCTGTGGATGAGGCAATGAAGACACCAGTCTGATGGGGGCGGCGGACTCCTGGGATCAACAGTGGGCATTCACTATAAAGTTTCAGTCATGCAAGATGAGTAAGTTCTGGAGTACAGCAGTGTGACCATAGTTGACAGTATTGTACTGTGTGCTTGAAATTTGCTAAGAGAGTAGACCTTAGGTGTTCTCACCACAGAAAAGAAAAAACAAGGAAAATGGTAAAGGTGTGAAGTGAATATTTCACCATGGATAAGTATACCGGGTCATCAGGTTGTACACCTTAAATATATACAGTTTTTGATGGTCGATTATAATTCAGTAAAGCAGGAAAAAGAAACCAGTGGGCATTCACAGTGGCAGGATGAGCACTCGAGCACGGGTGGGGCCTGACGGAGATGTTCTGGTCCTACAAGGCACCCGCTGCACCAAAGGAGCAGGTGCTGGTGCCCTTCCCTCTCTGGGGGCTCCCCTGCACTGTAGCAGCTGACCTCCAGGTGCCCTCCTGTCAGGCTCAGCGTGGGCCCTTCCCTGCCCTGCTCCCCTCCATTACGTCGCCCTCCTGGTTTGGGCTGAGTGCCCGTGTCACCCTTGGGCAGCTCCTAATTACACTGGGCATGTTTGAGTGGCTGCCGGCGGGGGCTTGGGGCCTGCTGCACAGACAGTCGCCAGCTCAATTTCATGCTAGAGTGGCAGGCAGCTCAGCAGGTCAGGGCTGTGCCCCCTGTCAGGTGACTGCGCTCTGGTGTGATTCTACCCACGTGTCCCTCAGGGCTCCACCAGCTTCCCACGTGTCACACTTCTTCCCTGAGCCCCTCACAGTGGCTCAACAGGGAGATGCTGACTCAGCAGGTGGCTGCAAACCTCTCCCAGGATTCTCATTGTGACTCACCGTGGACATGGAAGAGTTGAAAGCCGTGGCCTCGTGCCCCTCCTGCAGCCCCCTGAGTGCCTGATGGCTCTGACTCCCCTTTTCCTGTTCTGTTTCTCCTCAGCAGTTTGCTAGACGGTTGCCTGGTTTCTTTTAGCCCCAGCCTGGTTTTCTGTGGACTCACCATCTGGGGGCTTGTCTTACACTTGGTTTGATCCAGGGCGTTAATGCACGATTTGTATGTGAGATGATGGATGTGAAAGTGCCTGGCAAACTAAAGAACCCTACGTACAGGTTAGGTGTTACGAATCTTGGGTGCTCTCTGTGAGGCTGACTGGCAGGGGGCTCCCCCAGGCCTGGCCCTGGTGACTGTCCGCTTGGGTTCTTTTGACTAAGTCACTCTGGGCAGGACAGCCAGGGACGGCCATCCCAGGAGGAAAGGAAGAGAAGCAGATCCTCAGAGGGGGGGTCCACCCCCATCACCCCCATTACCCCTCGTTCCTTCTCACAGAAACTGAGGGGGAAGGGCCCCTAGTTCTGTTTTGATTACCATCTTTATACTGAGCACCTGCCGCTCCTGCTAGATGCTGGGAGGGCAGAGTGAATAAGCCCTCGTCCCCAGCCTCAGCTGGGCTGGAGGCTGGTGTGGGTGGTTTGTCCCCTCCCCAGCCATACCCTTCCCCTCAGCTCTGCTGGCTTGGAGGGGCTCCATGGTGGCTCTTGTGGGGCCCTTGGGATGACTGCAACCCATGGTTACAGGAGGGGGCCTCTGAGTGAGGGCAGAGATGGGAGGCTGAGGCCAGGATGGGGGAGGAGGCTTTGTGCCCAGATACCCCCTGGAGAGAGAGGCAAGGTCACTTTCCTTATCTCTGTCCTCCTCCCCATCCACAGATCTGGACCCTTGGGGAAGCCTTAGGGACCCCCTTCACTGACCAGAGATGGCAGCCAGTTGGGGACCCCATGTGAGTGATTGGATGTTAGGACCAGAGGGCTCTCTGAGATCTCCTTCTCAAACACCAAAGGACGGAAGCCCAGTAAGGACAGTAACTTGTCCACAGCCCCCAGCCCCTGGCCCCTGGACAGTTTCCTTCTGGCTGCACTGTGCTGCCTCCTTCTCCCAATCTGCTCCCCAAAGGACTTGCCTGCGCTGGGGTGGTGCTGGGACTGGGAGAACTCTTGTCCTCATCATGGGGCTGCTGAGCAAAACTGTGGGTGTCTTGGACACCACAGAGGAGCCAGGAGCTGGGAGACCCCCAAGTTGGCCCTGTGTTTGGTGTCATTGATGCTGTCTTGAGTCCTGCTCTCACATGCTTTTACTCCTTGCAGTGGCCCCCTCTCCAGCTGGCCCTGCCTGCCTGGGACTCGCTGGAACTTGGAGAAACCATGGCAGGATCTGCAGAATGGTCTCTCCCCTCTCCCTCTGGCCCTGCCTCTATGCATGAGCACGCACGCATATCGCCCCCCACACCTGTGTGAATGCCCTCCCTCCTTCCCACTGGTCCCTAGAGCAGGAATCTGTAGGAGGCAGGTCAGTCTTGGACACTCAAGCCCTTTGTTTCTGAGCCCAGCGAGGCGTCCCACGGCACAGGCCTGAGGGCTGGGGCGAGCTCTGTGCAGCCTGAGCACTCGTCAGTCCCTGTGAGTCAAGTGCCTCTCCTTCCCCCCACCGCCTGGCGAATCCTCCTGGATGTCACCCTTTGGGGTGGTCTCCCTGACTCTGCTCAGGCACAGCTGCCTTCTGCTTTCTTTGGGCTCCCACTTACCTCACTTGAGCCCCATCGTGATGTGTCCTGCCTACCCCCCACGCTTTGTAGGCCTGTATAACTGAGTGCACAGTGCGTGGTGCTGAGTAGGTGCTTCATATAGGTCGAGGGGAAGAACCGGAGTCCCCAGTTCACTGGATCTATTGGAACATCCTGCTCTCCATTCCAGAACAGGGTCCGTGTGCTTTATGGCTCGCAGGCAACTGCTGCTCTTTCCTCCCTCTCACAGATGGCCTCTGTGCTGGGAGGTCCTGAGGTGAGGAAGGCTTTCTATCTGGGATGCAGGAAGATCAGTTAGAAGGCTCTTTTGTCATATGATGGGGCCTGGCACAGGGCCGTGCAATGTGGATGGGGAAGCTGGCAGTGGGGGGGCGCCTTCCCTGGCTATGGTTTATTTCCAGTGACTTTGGCATTCCCTCTGGGGTGCTCTGGGCCGGTTTGCAGGGCCCCATCAGATCAGCTGGAGTTTCACCTTTCCCAGGGCTGCAGAGCCCCAGCCCAGCAGAGCCCCAGCCCAGCAACAAAGTCTCCTCTGCTCTCCTGTCTCCACCAGCCAACTACTCTTACCCTCAACACTGCCCACACATCCGGGGGAATTAAAAATGAGTTTGGACGGGTTGCTGCAAGCCCCCCTCACCATACACCTCCCCTAGGCTCAGCAGGCCCCTCCTGTCTCCTCCTCGTCCTACCTGTTCCCTGGATGGGTCTCTTACCCAGCACCTGGGCCCGTGGGCGTCGGGGTTTGGGACCCAGAGGCCCGGCAGTGGGTCCATGTGTCTAGCAGGTATATGCTTCTGATTTACAAACGTGGCTTGCTTCGAAGCTTTGAGGGACTTGGATGTATTCCTTCTTTTCTTCCCTCTCTCCAGCTCTCCCTTGTAGTCATTCATTTATTCATCCATCTGTGCATTCATTCATGTATTCAACACAAATTCTTTCTGCATGTCACTCTATTCCAGGCACTGAGGCTGACACCCTTACTAGGCAGTACCTCGGTCCTCATACCGGTAGGATGGACAGGATGTATGCTCAGAGAATTAATTATGGGGGAGGAAGTGATTGGCCTACCAAGAGGACTGATGCAGTGTTCTGGGATCCAGAGGGGGAGGGCTGCTTTGGGCTGGGAGTGGAAGCAAGGGACTCATGGACGAGGTAGACCCAGCTGGGCCTGGAGGAACAGGGAGAACTGAGTATGTGGGGATACGGAATTGGGATGCATCGGGCGGAGGTCCCAGGCAGGGGGCAAGCGGGAACAAAGTCAGGGAGTCAGAGCAGCACAGAGCAGGTTGAGTAGAGGGGCTGCTGGCCGAATCTGGCCTGCTGCCTGTTTGGGTAAAGTGAATTTTCTTGGAACACAACCAAACCCAATTGTTTGCGAACTGTCCGTGTGCTGTAGGCAGAGCTGCCATGCAGAGCCTAAAATAGTTATGATCTGGCCCCTGCAGAAACTGTTTGCCTACCCCTGATCTAGAGGAACAGTAGGCCACGGGTTTGGGGGTTTGGGGAGAACGCAGAGTACTTATATGCCGGCAGGGGTGGGACTGGGGTAAAACCTGACGAGCAGATTGAAGTGGTGAGTGTGGACAGGGCACCGAAGGCTTTTTAACGGGGAGTGTTGTGATGAGAAGATGAGGACCATGATTTGGGAAAATAATCTGACAGCAGGTGGAGATTGGTTGGCAAGAGAGAGAGACTGGAGAGACAGAGAGGCCTGTCAGGAGATCTTTGCCATAGGTGATAGATAGATAGATGGTCAGAGGTAAGAAAGGAGGGGTTGAACCAGGGGGGTGGCAGGGAGTGGAGGGGCAGAGGTGTGAGAAGAGGTGGGTGTGTACAGGAGGGAGGAGGCCAGTGCCAGAAGCAGGGGACACAGGAGAGAGCTGGCCAGCTCTGGCCGGCATATTCCCATAGAGACAGCACTGGCCTTGGTCCTAGCACTTGGGCCTGACTGGCTAGGCTCTGGGACTGCCAGACTCAGCTCTGGTAGTGTGGAGAGAGGTGGGCAAGGAAGAAGAGGAAGACAGTAATTTCCTTTCAACTTCCTTGGCAAAGGGCCTGTCTAGGAGAAGTTTCTAGAAGGATGAACCTTGCCTTTGCTGCCATCCTCCATCCATGTCCCCTTCCCTGGCTCTGGTTCCCCAGTGCCTTTTGCACAGCCAGTTCTTTCTTGCTTCTGGAGGCACCCCACAGCTGGGTCAGCTCTTCCCACAAAGTCCCTGTGCCCGCCTCCACATCAGAGGATTTGCTGTTAGAAGCCCTGCCTCCTGCCATCTCAGCAACCCAGGCCTGGGCCCTCTGGGACACTGCAGACCCCCAGTCCCTGAGCTCCTTAGAGGGGATGAGAGCTCAGAGCAAGGTCGAGGGCAGGGGCTGGAGCCACCCACTTCTGTTCCCTGAAACTCATTCCATAAGAGTCCAAGAAAACCAGGTGAGATGGGCATTGAGGGCGGCCCTCGGGGAGGCATGGCTTTAGGGGACAGCCTAGAACCTGGGGTTGGGAAGGAGGCAGCCTCTTCTCCCCTCCCATTGCCTGACCCAAAGCAGAGGTGACCATGTGGATGTGTGTTTCTTTCACTAGAGCGTGAGCAGGCCTGGGGCTCACCCGTCTTTGGAACCCCTGCGGAAGTGGTGGGAAGAGTTCACAGTGAGGGAGGGAGGCAGTGAATTTGAGTCAGGGGTGGTTTTGGCATTAGGTCCCGGAACCTCTTTCTTGCTCCACCTCCGCCATATGGCACTTTCAGAAAAGGTCAGCTGATGGCGAACACTGGCACTGTTCTGTGTGCTCCTGACTGGGGGGTGGGGGGCGTCTTGGATTGGCCATTGGGGGAGGTTGCTGCAGCCTTCACTGCCTGCTCTGTGTCGTCTGGAAGTCAGGTGTCCACAGGGTTGAGGGCAGAGACTTCTCCCTGTGCTCTGCTTTCTAAGCTGTCGGGGCAGAGGAGAGGCGGGAGGCCTGTGGGTTTTGCCTCACAGCCCCCTTCCTGGGCCATCTCTGCTTTTTTCATAGGCCCTGCCCTAGGATGCAAAACTAAACTTGACCCACTTCATGCCTTGTGGAACTAAGGAGCGCTTGTATTTGTGCAGAGCGCAGCTGTGCACTGTCTCGTATAATCGTCTCAGTGGGTTGGTGAGGCCCCTTTGTCTATCCCTATTTTATATAAAGATGAGGAACTGAGGACGCAACAGGTGGATGGACTTGCCCCTCTCTCCCTCCCCTCTCCCTCTGCTCCCTCCCCTCCCCCTCTGCTTCCTCACTTCCCTCCTCTGCTCCCTCCC